TATAACTTCACCAATCATTTCTTGAATTATTTCGCTAATGCTACAATGAAAAATAAATAGATGACCGATTTAGAACTAATTCGTCAATAGCCAGGACAAAGTGTAGCTGATTATGCTCAAAAATACAAAATGTTAATTCAACGAGTTGACCTTGTAGGAGGCTTTAGACAACAATATATCATTAGCAAATTTATCAGAGGATTAGTCCCACATATCATGACGATGATAGTAGGACACAGTCCAAATAATTTAGACACAGCTATAACCAAAGCTAAGGAAATTGAGACAGGTTTCATTATTGCTCAACCTATCCAACAGCAACAGGTCATGGCAAATCAAATGGAGTATTACAACAATAAGTCTCTCAATTAACCGCAAACTTGGCTAACACTCAAGTTCTACAAACAAACTGACAAAACAATTGGAATAATCAAAATTGAAATCAAAGTAACTATAGTAATTATGAACAGAAGAAATTCGAATGTTGAAATTGTGGAGAAGAAGGACATATGGCTAGAGATTGTCAATCAAAAACAACAACTAGAGCTCAACCACGAACTCAAACTCAATCTTGACCTAATTTTCAATCTAACAATAATACTCAGAATAATAATAATGGCTAACAATAAAGGAATGTTAATTTGGCTGAAACTGAAAAAGCTGAAACTGAACAAGAAATTTATATGATCACCAGATCGGTTTTACCTCAAACTACCTGAATTATATTATCACGATCTAAATCTACTCGAGAACAACAAAACAAGATTCCACCTCAATCACCAAAACCAATTGTTCAATTTACATCAGTAAAACCTTATTATGAACAACCTTATAGAATTATTAAAGATCTCAAACGTCACAATGCTAATGTTACCTTCGGCCAACTGCTAAGAAATCCTTTATACCTTCAAGAAATAAAGGATGAAATAAACAAGATCGAAAAAGAAATGAAAATTGGGATAAATATTGCACAAACCTATGTAACTGATAACAATAAATACACCGCTGCTAGATGTATTATGAGATTCAAATTAAATCTAATTGAAACTATTTTGGATTCAGGTGTAACTGCATGTATAATCTCAACTACCTTGGCCTCTAAACTTAACATTAAACCAGATAAGTCTTCTGACATTTTGGTTGTAACTGCAGATGGAAAACGTAAAAGATCATTAGAAATTATAACCTCTGTCCTCCTTATCTTGCAAGGAGCGAAATTTTCAGTCGATTTACAAATGATTGAATCAACTCAAGATACCTTATTATTAGGAATAAACTGGTTTAAAGTATTCAATGCGAGAATATATTTCGACTAAGATAAGTTAAAAGTTAAAATTGATAGTCAAATAATTGAATCTTCTATAAAATGCATTGAAGAAGCCAAACCGTTTTTCAGGATCTTAGCAAATATTGCAAAAAGCGAAGAAGAAGAATATGTCGATGAAGCTCTATATGAAACAGATCTCTTTCAAATAGAAAATGATGAGGACTCTTCTTTTGATCCAAACGAAGGAAATGATAAATTAGAACGTATTGAATGGCCTCACCAAGAGGAAGAAATTATTGCTTTTTATAGCATGAACATTGAAGGAGAAACGGAAGAACAAGAAATAATTAAAGCACTTATACTAAAAGAAATTATTTTAACTGAAGGAATTGACATTGGACAGACTCCGTTTATTAATCATCAAATTCCATTAAAGCCAAACACAAGACCTATCGTCTACCCTCCATACCGATTAAACTAAGAAAGAAAAGATTTCTTGGAAAAAGAAATTGACAAAATGTTAGAAAAAGAAATCATTCAAACTTCAGAAAGTCCATGGGCCTCTTCAATTGTGATTGTACCTAAAAAGACAGGAGATCTTAGAATATGTGTTGATTATCACCCATTGAATTCAGTGACAGTCACAGACTGATACCCAATACTAAACATGCAAGATCAATTAGAAAACTTTAGAACTGCTTGATACTTTACTGCTCTATACTTAGCAAGTGGTTATTGGCAAGTAAAAATGCATCCAGATGATCAAGCAAAATCAGCTTTTATTACACCTTCAGGACTTTATGAATTTAAAATGATGCCTTTTAGTTTAAAGAATGCACCTGCTACCTTACAAAGATTAATGAACAGAGTTTTACATCAATTAATTAGAAAATTCTGCGCAGTTTACTTAGACGACATTATCATTTATTCAACCACATTTCAAGATCATTACAATCATGTACAACAAGTTTTTATCAGATTAAAAGAAGCAGGATTAAAAATAAAACAGAGAAATGCACATTTGCAGTGAATGAAGTTAGTTATCTAGGTCATATCATAGGAAGTAATGGAATCAAACCTGATCAAAAGAAAATCCAAACTATGGTTGACTTACCTACACCCAGAAATTCAAAAGAAGTACGAATGGCATTAAGACTCTTTTCTTATTATTGACGCTTTATTCAAGATTTTGCAAAGATCGCAGGACCTCTTCATAACTTAACTAAAAAGAGTACTACTTGGAATTGGACAACTCAACATCAAGATTCGTTCGATAAATTAAAATTTAAAATGATTACTGCTCCAGTTCTCATTCAATCTGATCTGAATAAAGCATTTATTATTTAAACGGATGCTTCAGATGAAGGATTAGGAGTTGTACTTGCTCAAAGAGATGATTAAGGACTTGAACATTCAATCGTCTATGCAAACAGAAAATTATCTGATTTGGAGTTAAAATATACAACCACTGAAAAGGAATGTCTTGCAGTTCGATGGACTATTGAACACTTTGATCATTATCTCTGTTACCAACCTTTTAAAGTAATGACTGACCACTCTGCATTAAATTGGTTGTTAATGACTAAACATATAAAAGGACAAGTTGCCAGATGGGCTCTCTTCTTACAAGCTTATGATTTCACTATTAAGCATTGATCAGGAAATAAAAATCAAAATGCTGACGCATTTTCACGAATGATCTCAATTAATATGGCTTTAACAGAAGAATTAGAGAAAGAATCCACCACAAACTCTAAATGGATTCAAGTACATTTCTTAACTTTAGATATACCAGGATGTTAAACTAAATGGCAATAGAATGGATTAATAAATAATCGCCAATATAGAAGAAATTCTTACTCTTGTAATGAAACTGATCATCACTCGCATTGGTATTGTATTTACTGTTACCAATGTGCGAATCCCCATAGAAATTATATATCTTCTCCTGGTGAATGCATTTTATGTAAATGTGATAATTACTACCAAGAGTTCTCGGATTTCGTTAATGAAGAATATTGTCAAGATAATGAATATTCAGATGAAGATTTACATTCTAGAAGAAGTGATAATGAGTCTAAATATTATTCAAGTCAAGAAGATCTTGAATCTATACTCGATGAAAAAGGAAAAGATTGGAGACAAGATATGCATAATATATATCTTCAAGCTGCAGAATTTAAACAGATGACTGTTAAGCAAATGCAAGATCGTTCATTAATAGAAGTAAGACAAGAATATTCTGTTAATTGTACACTTTGTGGAAAAATTATTACTATGGATTTAGAATACGATTGCATTGTTGGATATAAACTTGGCCAAATTCATCCTGAAATGATGCCTAAAGCCTTGACGAATAAAATCTTTTGGGACATTCCTGAAAAAGTACAACATCACGATGAAGCTTGTCATGCTGCAGTTGAATTATTACAACCACCTCTTAATTCTCAAACTTCTGACGAATTGACTGAAAACGAATTTAATGAATTGTTTAACCCTTACAAACCAACTATTACCCCAGTTATTACATCAAATTTTAATGAAACTCAAAGTCGTGTATTTACTCTTGAATTAGATTTTTAAACATTATTCCTTTCTTTTATTTTTATTATTATTATATTTCAATTTATATTACATTATTTTTAAAGAGGTAACATCTAGTTGAATAACACTAGTGAGTAAAAGTCTCAAGTTTATTTAATTGAGTGAAAGTGAAAGTGTAAGCATTGTGACTTACAGCTCAATATTTACAATGGATATAAAACAGTATTTCGAACTTCAACAATATTTAAATCACAATAAGTTTCCTGATTACATTCAATCTAATAGAGATAAGAAAAAGTTCACGAATATGGCCAAGTATTTTACAATTCAAAATACAAATTTATATCGTTTTGATCGAAGAAGACCTGAACATTTATTACAAGTTCTCAAAAGACATGAATTAGAACCTGTCTTATACATGATGCATAATGATACTATAGCAGGACATTTTGAATGAAAAATCATATTCAACAAAATTAAAATTCGATATTATTGGTCTCAGATGTATGAATACGTTAAAGAGTATGTGAAAATATGTGATTCTTGCTAACGAAGAGGAGGGCCAAGCAAGAATAATGAGTTACACCCTATACCTCTTCACAGTCCCTTTTATCAGATTGGAATTGATTTTATTGGTCCTTTACTAATAACTTCTCGAGGGAATAGATATATTATCGTAACTGTAGATATGTTTACTAAATGGCTAGAAGCAAGAGCTGTTGCAAAAGCCACAGCTAGCCAAGTTGCTTTATTTGTCTATGAAAAAATTATTTGTAGACATGGATGCCTTATAAAAATTCTATCAGATAAAGCAACACATTTTAATAATACTATGATAAAAGAATTAATAGAAAAATTTGAAATCAAACATCACAATTCAATGCCATATCATCCTCAGACAAATGGACAAGTTGAAAGATTTAATAAAATGTTGAAAGAATCTTTAGCAAAAATTATACAAGAACAAACTGAATGAGATCTACATATAGCCCCTATATTATTTGCTTATCGTACTGCTTAGCAGTTCACTACCAAAATGACTCCATTTTTATTAACATATGAACGAGAAGCGAAATTGCCCCTAGATGATCATGTTGATCAAGAAAATAAAAATTTGATAGACTGAATTCGACAAATCATAGAAAAACTTTCAGATATTAAAGAAAAAGCTAAACAGACAATGATCGCCATGAAAAATAAACAAAAGACAGCCTATGACAAACATCTGACTAAACCAATGTCATTTGACATAGGACAAAAAGTCTTTTATTTTGATGCTGCATGAATCAATCAGTTCTCAGGAAAACTAGAGCCAAAATAGAAAGGACCTTACAGGATTCGTGAGATCTTGATCAATAGATCTTATCATTTAAGAGAAGAAGATGGATGTCTTCTTGCCAAACCAGTAAATGGTGATCTACTAAAAAGTTATTTTGATCAATGGTTATGGGAACCACAAATAGTGATTGACATATGAAAAAATATATAAGATATCATTATCCTCTATTAGCATCAGTTTTGAAAAAAATGGATGAAATTTTACAAGACATAACACGAATGGAACTATTACAAATTCAAGAATACTATCGTTCATATTAATCTACAGATGATCCTAGAACAAAAATGAGGATAATTCAAAGAAATTATTGACGAACAAAGGTAGCCAGAAACAGAATCAGAATGTTGATAAATATGTATTTCATCAGAGACCTTTTAGATTCTCTAAAAGATATTGACTATAAACGAGCGAAATTAGTTTTGAGTCCATACCAACGAGAGACTGCTGTAAAGACTTTTATGATATTTCAGGAATTAGGAATATCGCAACTTTATCGAACTAAAGTCTTGACCACTTAGCAAATACAACGATTAACAAAAAATAAGATACAGGATCTTATTTCAAGGGCGAAATCCTTTCTAACTATTATGTTCAAAATTCAAGTTGGAGGAGGATTGTCAATGGAAGAAATTGCAATTCCAAATATCACATGGAATATGTTAATCAATAATGATCTCACATTAGATGATGTTACTGCTGCGCTAAATAGTGATCAGCAGTAATTTCTGTTTCCTCTATTACGTCTGTTCTCTCTGTATTTTCTATACAGTCTATTTATCTTGTTTGTTCTATTTCATCCATAATTTCTTTAACATCTGTAATTTATTTTATTTCTTTTTATTATTTTTATAGTTTACATTATATTTATTATTTTAT